TTGAAAATAAACGATTATAAAAAATGTATTTTCTTCAGTGGATCAAAATGAATGTATTGATTTAGTTTTATAAATTTTGAAATATTTGTCATTCACCACATATTATTTTGTTTTCAAGATTACGTTCATATGGAACAAGAGGTACCAGTATAGTATACGTGAACATCAATCTCAGAGATGTCGAGAATCGATATTGATTAAAGTTAAAGTACCAAGATTGCTGGGTCGCTCAGTTCAGTCAAACATAAAATGGAGCATCAGTATAAATGAAGTGAACACCAATTTATTTATTATTTGAGAATTCAGAATTCCTTGAAATTCAGTGTCCTTTCATCCTTTTTTCCTTTTGCAATTTCTTTCCTCTCTTCAGCATACTTGAGAAAGTCTAAACAAATTCAAACGAAGCGCCTTCGGAGCGATTATTTCGATTGTCAGGAAAAGTAGCCCTTTCTTACTTCTACAAATGGAAACAAACATGAGTAATTGTCAACTGTTTCAATATTTGCACCACGTTGTGTAGAGAAAGAATGATAATTTCACACGTAAATTAAACATTCAGAACTGAAATCCATTCAATATATCGCCTTAGGAATGCACATATAATATGTGATTATGGTATCATTGCGTAAAGCCCATCTTATTCATATGTGTATAATATTAAGGTGAAGTAAATTAAGTCTTTATCTTATCTCTATCCGTTCCATGTCGCCGAACAATGAAGTTATTCCGATAATTTCAAACAGCCATGACGCATCGTTCAGATGTTTAGCAACTCCGTGTGAAAGATTATTAAATAAATCCTGATAAATAACTGATTATTATTAATTAAGTAATTAACCAACTCCTTCTAAATAACTCCTGAAAGATTCTAACAAAAGAAGCGCGAGAAATTCGAGTTTAAAAATTGCCTATGTTTCAAGCAGAATAACGCAACAACTCATAATTTCAAAACATTGAATGTGACCTTATTGGAAAATATGTTTTTGTTGTACAGATTTTAAAGGAAAAAATATATCTTCATGATTGTAGTTGTAGGAAGACGCAAAAAAATTTGCTTTTGTTTTGTAATTTTGGAAAGTTTAAGGAGTACAACGAAAATGCGATCTACGCCATTTTGTTTTGCGTCTTTTGCTTTGTCAGAGGGGGGAAATGAAGAAATAATTTGGAGACTTTTTTTTTAATTAAAATTGTTTAAATCACATGTAAAGTACCCCCAAAAATCAAAATATCCGTTTCAAATTGAAGTGGCCGTTCAGATCGATCGGAGAATATCTGTTTTGGCAAAAATTCTGCTTACGCTTTAGCCGCCAATGTTATTCACAATCAGACACGTTTTGCCATCAATCGATTTTTCGGTATCGAGGACCCACCAAACGTGGATTCTGACTACACAGCGTGTTGCAGGAAGTCATAATTTACAACGTGTAGGAACGAGATTTATCAAATTTTTCGTTGTCAGAGCCCGGCAATAAGAGTTTTTCTTTCGAAAATTCGCCCTTTTTCCCCCCGCATTATTACAGTAATTTCTCTATATTGCATAAGCGATGAAAGTAAAGAGCGAAGGCAGTGCAATGATGGAATGCGCAAGGAATGTCACTTTACTATATGGCGTTGAAGCACGAGGAAAGGGATATCAAATCATCTGAGTGATGACGATGACAATGCGACTGGAGTGTGACCCATTTGTATATTTTTCGGGTGCACCGGAACTTTCTATTGGGTGAATGATATTTTCCAGCTAATCATTGAGTAATGTGTCCGTCCTTCGCGATTAGACCTCTTCCTCTCCACCAATCGACACAAATTAGGATTTGTTCGAAGCGTCTCGATCTCCTATTGGGGATAGGATGTCTTTTTGCGGTTCCATCCATACGATTCTAAGGAATTTTACGGAAAAAGTTTTTTTTTCTTCTTTGTACGCAATTAAAAAGGGTTTTTGTTGAGTTACCGTATCTGCTAAGGCTTATGGCTTATTCGATTTCCTTCGAGCAGCCAAATTGATTTGCGCAATTCCGTCCAGGATATTCTGGAAGAATTGTAGAAAAACACGCGTTCCTGGTCGTTTGAATGCACCTTCGGGGCATTGGTGAATCACCGTGAATTACTATTGTCTCTTTTCGGCATTTGCATAAATTGTTACTTGCTTCATCGGATTGGCGCTAATCAAATCTAATTTTGTAAGAAATAAAAAAAAATAGACATATGGGGCCGTCTATAAATTACATAAGGGGATCAAGGCGAATCTCACCTAATATACATGGGAGAGAGGGGATTTTCAGCGCATATCACCGTCTCGCCAGGTAAAATAAGGCATTAATTCAATTCAATTTTTTCGCTAAAGACAGTGCTAAATTGCGAAAAAAAAACGGAGACAAGTTTGTATTCTAAAATACGGCTAAATCTTGCACAATATTTATTTTATCGTGGTTATGTAATAAGTAGCATAGAATACTGAGAACAAGAATCTAACAAAATTACCAAACGTTTTATCTTTATGGGATAAATCTCTTTGCCTGTATTTTACAGACATTTTAAGGAAACATTACAGAGAATGATTTATTGCAATGTTTTTTGAAATGCAATAATATTCAATGCAATTCAGTCCCTCTATTTTCTAAATACTAATCATATGTAGTCATATATAAATATAATTAAGCAAATTGTGTTTTTAAATAAATCCCAATGCAATCAATCACAAATTAACATGTTTGCATTTAAAGTACGCAATTTCAAAAATCTCAGATGATATTAGAAGGGGGAGGGAATCGAGCCAAATCTCACATCTCACCAAAGGGGGAGGGGGAGTCGAAAAATCGCCAAAATCGCCTTATGTAATTTATGGACGGCCCCTATTTTAATCGATACTTATTGATGTTTCTTTATCCGAAAGTTACGAGCTAAGAAACTAACATGTTTAAAATTTATAATTATTATGAAGTTGTAAAGCACAAATTAACCTTTTTCTCATGAAGGTACCTGCCGGAGGTATCCGTCACACTCAGCAAGGAGATTAGAACCTCCAACATTAACAATAATATTTTTTACTGGTAAATATTCTTTCACTGGAGTGTTTGAGAACGGGACTATATCGGGGACAGTTGTTAGCTGTTTCTCAGCAACATATGCTCCCTGACCATACTATAATAATACTAATATATATATTATATAATATTACCAATGGTAATAAGAAATGATGCATTCACGGCCGAATATACTATACCCAACACAATTGTGCTTTACAAATTAAAAAAAAAGAGAGAGAGAAAATTTTCCGTCGAAGTTCTTAAATTGTGTCAGTTTCATGGTTTCTTTTAAAGGATTTTAGAAAAGCCATTAATATATTTTCAATAAGGTGTCAGACATTATATAAGAATACCTTAAGTTGTAAAAGTAATAATGGAGAAAGCGCGCTGTTGAAGCACCTAGCTTTTTACTTGATTAAACTAAAATATATTCACCTAACACATCTTTCAATATTTACGTCAATTAATAAGTCGTAATTTAAAAGTGCCACTAGAATTTGGTTCTATTTGTAGTGCGTATCTATAAAACTATTTTCAATTATTATGCCCAATTATTTTTTCACAAGCTATTTCGAGATTAAGTGGAGATTGTTTACTCGTAGAACCATAATACAGCTCGTTTTAGAAAGAACATATTTATGGTTCATCTTCATTTTGGTACAGTTTTTGGACAACCAAACCAATGTTTGTAAACGAAGCATTGAGATGTAATTAATCAATAGTTATCAGCCAATTTTTGTATTAGAGCTGCAGTGCCCAGAGGGCCACGGGAGGTGATGATAAATCGCAACGTCATGGCAAAATACCAAAACAGGAGGTGAGTGGGAGGGGATGAGGCATGGCATTAACGTCTCTAGAAATGAGCCAAAAGGGAGGAATGATAACTGGGTAAATTTATTTTAGTTTACAATAGTCGCAAAAAGTACGCAATGAAACTCAATGGAATGGGGTATTATTACACTCGTATGAAGTTAGCGACGCTCTCTCTTACCTCATTGCACACTTGATGCTTGTATGAATACATAACCATCTATACATCATTTCTGTAAACACTATTACGAACGTAGCAAAATGGAAATCTAATGTCTAATTTTATTTTAGTTTTGGTTTGTTAAGAAATTCTACTACAAGAAAAATTGAATTGAAACATTAAATTGGACGTGACGTCGACTTCAAATACTTTTGATACACAGATACGTATGTAGTATAAATTTTACAAATTGTTAGTGCGAATTATAAGTTTATAGATATTGTGCTAAATATATATGGAGCGTTAATATATTAATGTACTTCTGAATTTCCCAGTAGGGTGGATGCATCAACAAAAAATGTATTAATGCACTTACACCTCTTTTTTTTCGGTAACAAAACAAGAAGCACTTTTGAGCATGTTCAAATACCTATTGCATTATGAATACTGAAGATCTTGTTCCATTTATTTCTATCCAGACATTTGAATTTGAATGGTATTCAATAAAATTTGTCAAGGCGATGATGCTCGAAATATGTATGATTTTCTTCGCTAATTTCACTTTATGGGGAATTCTTTAACAAATATTAAGGCAAATCGTAAGGGACCGTAATGACTTAATGTGAGACAAGAGTCTCAAATATTCTCTACTATAGGTAATTTTAAAAGTAATTTACTGATCAATGTATGATAAAAGATTTGGTGAAAGGTTTGTCTACTCCTATCCTCTGCCAGTCTTCATATGTCGAGTTTTCCTTTATCAGTCTTTGCAGTCTGATCCGGTGTAACATTTGTTTGTAATATTCGTGTTAGACAGTGCAGTTGAAAAGAGTTTCAGATGAAAAGGTCCAGATTTTGATGGCTCGAAGTTCCATCCTTTACCTTTTCCCTAAGAACGTTTCCATTGTGAGGTGCAGCCTTCTCCAGCCATTGTGTGGTGTGGGGGAGGAGGGGGCCGGGGGGCGAGCGGGGACGGGGGCGGCGCGCTGAGCATGGTGTGTGCGCAGGGCATGCCGGAGGCGTGGGCTCGCCTGCTTATGAGCTCCAACATCAGCAAGCAGGAGCAGAAGAAGAACCCTCAGGCTGTGCTAGATGTACTCAACTGGTTCGACTCGTCCAGCAAGGAGACGAAGGGCTCCAAGTATATGACCACCACCAAGATGGTCGGTGAGTATCACATGTTGCGCAGAACCCCCCCCCCCCTTTCTCCCTTAACATTTTTTGTATTTGACAGTCATACACTTATTTTCTCCAATGTTTGCATGTGCATTTACTTTCTGATAAAATTTCATGTAATATAAACGATGTGACTCATGTGTCAATATCATCTTCCTACTATATGGCTCTGAAGTATTTGTTATTCTAAAAAGGATAAAGTTAATTGTTATATTAAAAGACCTGGAAAGAGTTCATTGTTTGAATACTCATTGTTGCATGAGAACATTTTCTCAGTCTATTTCAAAATATTTAGTTTTCCGATATTAATAAAATTAAAACTTGCGGAAAGGATATTACTGGAAGAAAATTATTGAAATTATGGGATTGTGTTCAAATATTGTAAGTAAGAATTTGTCAGTATGAGTATTCGGTATCGAATTGGAGTATGCAGAACTGTCGGGGATCATTTGATCACGACGACAGAGTTGAATTTCAATCGCATTCCAAGACAAAGTTGAATAAACATGATTGGATCGTATTACTCTGGCCTCGTACAAGGAAGGTAAATAAGTAGTTTTTATGGGATGGTCATAGTTCTCTTGCTTATACCGTGTGCTCCTGGTTAGTTGGTGAAGATAGACCCGAACGGACGCACTTCCTGCTAATTTATGAATTAGATTGTAAATTATTGAGTAACATTTGATGTATCAATAAACCTTATTTTATGTCTCATCCAAATAGTTCAAAATAGAAAATCCAGTGCCTCTATGGAAGCCTCGGTCGTGCTCCTTCCTTATAGCAGTTAGCATTACCCGATTAAGGAATAATCATACGCTTATTGCCATCCAAAGTACTCTTAGTGGATGAACAATACATATATCTGTTCTGTAGCCTTTAAGAGTATGAGGAAGGCAGAGTGGCGAGAAAGGAAATAATAGTTAAATTAGTATTTATTTTTAGATTTGTTATCTACAAAAACTGTTATATTTAATCAATGCAGTATAATCATGTTTATTGTGTCTATTTAATATTAGTATAGTTTGAAGCATTGAAGGTTTTAGCGGGACGATGAGGTGGGCAATGAGAGAGCAGGGCGGCCGTTGAGGGTGGCGTGTGTGGTGTGCGCAGCGGACGGCACCGGCGCCCCGCCGCCCGTGGAGCTGGCGGCGGCGCCGCCGTCGGCGCTGGCCAGCCCGCGGCCGGCGCTGCGCCACCAGGCCGGCGCCGCCACCAGCTCGGGCTCCAGCCACAGCCAGCGCAGCCTCAGCCAGCCCTCGTCCAGCAGCCCGTCGTCCACCACGCCCGACACGGAGGGCGGCGGCAACGTCACCTCCGCGCCCACCTCGTCCGAGGTGGAGGAGGAGCCGCCGCCGCCGCCCATCGCCGCGCGCCCCGAGCGCACCAAGTCCATCGTGAGTTCGCCCCCTTGCACCTTCGTTGCGTTGAAAACGCTAGAGCGTAGGCTTCCGCGTCGAGGCCAACGCTGCCGACGTGTCGCCCACCTTGCCGGGGTCTTCCTCGGGGCTGGTCTGCCAGGAGGTTTAATAAATAGACCGGCCCTGAGGAAGGCCGTGACGGGGTGGTCGAAACGTCGTTATAACTGCCTTCGACGCGGCGTCAAAGACCATTCGTAATGTGAATAAATGTTTTCCCGCTTTTATTGTATTAAAAAGCTGACTTACAGAATAATAATCCGTTCTGGGGACTCAGCAATGGTCAACTTTCGTGCATGTCGTGCTTATAGCGAATGGATCAAAAGTTCCAGTACTCGGAAAGCAGTGGCAAGCCTCGTCCTGTCACGTGGTGCAAACTCGAGCTCGCGGCACATGATCTAAGCATTCGCCCTTCTAATAGCGTCGAGATCGTTCATCCAGTTACCTTCGCTTCTAAGTTTGCTTTTCACCAAGAGCTCCATTAAAATTATATTTCGGGGAAAATCGGCAAATTGATGGACGGAAGAGATTAATGGGGGAAATGGATCGGAAATCACTGGTCTCCTTGGGGTTTGCGTGGGGATCTGTTCTTGGGCTTGTAAACGTAGGAATTTTTAAGGTTGCCAGTCAATGGTTTTGATAACTCACATTGTCATTTTTTATTAATCACTATTCAGAGCATTAACTGGGTAACTGGCGGGAAATGGAATATTTGTAGTGCTGAAATGTTAATTTTGGACTACAATGAAAATCCTACTTTACTTAGTGGAGCTACAATATTTCATCCTATTGTTTACTTAAATTACCACGAATTTCTGATTGTATCCACTGGTGAGTTTAGAGGAGTAAACAGTTATTACGCCTTGTGAAATATAATTGCCAAACAATCTAATTGAAAATAACGTGAAAAATATTTTAATTTATTTTGATTGAAAACTACTGCATTGAATCTTGACCATTGTTCGTAAAATAATAGCAATAAATATTTTAATTGAAACGTTTCATAATATTTTAATTTTAAGATCTCTGGAGTCATTCTGTAAGTTATACTTTTTTATCGTTTCGCTACAGAAGAAAGAGAAATAAAATAAAATATTATTCCTGAACTTGGCTTATCGCTCTAATGCAGTTTATATAAAGTTAAGAATAGCATAGAAACATGTTAGAACCAATAAGAGTATCACTTTGGCTTATTTTTTCGTATGTTTATTAATACATATACCATTTGCATGTATTAAAATTGTTTTCCTTAGAAATATTCATATTCACTCTTCATTCGTGCTTCAAAATGTCTCTTACTTTTTATTCGTTCCCTATCACGTCGATTCGCATGCTGTCACGTTCCATAATTTCTTGGAGGTGCTTTCCCTTGCATTTAAATTGACTCCCGCAAAAGGAAAGTAGGCTCATCTGGAACATGATTTGCTGGGCGTGTATCGATTGGAAGGTCGATGGCCAATGTAAGACCTAGAATTGTGCAATTAGTTCGATAGCATACTTCTCTGCTGGCCTCTTCGGGATTGAAACAATTTTTTTCCCCCTTTCTTTCTGGAATTTCAAATCCTGAGATCTCCCAGTTAATCAAAGCTTCATCAGAAGTGAAATTCTTGGTTGAAAATAGTGAAGAAGCTGATTTGTGTAAGAAACATTGACAACATGTTATTGTGATTTATTCGAATTTTGGCATTTCTCCGTCGCAGCTTTGAAGTGGTTGGTAGTACTTCTACAAGTTTTTTCAACAGCTAGTCATGTAATGGGTTTATGTAGTCCCAATACAGGCCATCATACAGGTCTAACACAATCATATAATGGTTAAAAAGCCTGGATGTCGTCCGACTCCCGAGGTGGGGGCTGAATCTCGATCCTGAGACGATGCGGCTTCTGCAGTAGCCGCTCGATCACGCAACCCGCAAAACGCTGGCGCGATGTGGGAAGTCGCTCTGAGGCCTGACACCACAACACAACCAGGTCGCAAGCACCGACCTTCCTGGCGATTCAACTTTCAGCATTCTATGTACTTATTTTTGTTTTATAACATGACAGAGATGTGAAAAATTTGTATTTTTAGTAGCGTGCTAATTATCCCTGCGCATATGCCAATGTTGGTGGTAATATATGTAATAATAGTAAATATTTTGACGTTTTTATGTAGAAATTTTCAATTGGTGTTCAAATAAACTCAAAAAATCGGGGGATTAATTTATTTTTGCTCTTGTTTCATTGCGTACGTTGAATTGCATTGGTCCTTCGTTTACACATGAACAAGTAAATAAGAGGAATTGGTTGGCGAATCAAAAATATAAAGCTGTTGTGAAGAGAATCACTTGAAGAGATTGTGACCTTCGCGTTAAAAAGAATTATTGAAACAAATTCTGAAGCTTGAATAATGTCATCTATGAACTATTACCATTTATTGCACCAAGAGGGAGAGAAACTGCATACCAGAAAAATAAAAATCAATTTTCACACCAAGAGGAGGAGTAAGAACATTACATGAAAAGGTTTTTGACTTGTGAAATGTTCTGAATAATGGAATCTCGGCCATTGATGTTAATATATCCAAGAACAAGATGCTGATATACCCAAATAACATCGTAAAGTAATCTGGGCAGCCATAAATATGCTAGCGAAGATCTAACACCTGAAATAAATTCTATTAATACTATGCAGATACATCGGAATATCAGACGCGCCAAAATGACTGCGGTTGATTTTCTCTAATGGAAACGGTCACTAGAGCAAACGAGATCTTCGCAGATGTGATTTTATAAAGCAGACAAACAAAAGCAGAGTATTGACAAAGCGTATTATCAAGAAAATAAATCGTTTTCTTAAAGCGAGTGTGTGGAACGTTTTATTTTTATTGAAAACTCGTGTCCATTGAACTCCGACCTACCCGATGAATCGGTGAGACGGCAGTGAGTGGGGTGAAGGAAGGGGGGCGGATCTGCCGCCTTTTTGTGTGCGCGACAAAGATAGGCCCAGGTCAGGGTCCACCATGCAGTCACCCCGACGCGGCGCGTCCGCGTGACGCATACGGCGCTGGCGGGTGGCCCCGGCGCGTGGAGTCTCGAGGCGAAGAGGGCCATGTTGCCGGACTGCGGCGGCGGCTGCTGCGGCGCGCTATGCGCACACTTGTGGGGCCTCACCGGCGGCGCGTTCCTGGCTCGCCTCCCCCGCCGGCGGCGCCACCGCCAGCGCGCGCGCTCTTCTTCGCACGCGAGCGCGGCCTTGGCCTTGCAGCTCGTCCGGCCGCCGTCGCCCTCGCCATTTCCGCCCTCTGTTCTCGCAGAGGTTCCGGCGGCGAAGGCCTTGCGTCACTGCCGGCGAGCACTTCTCGAGCCTGCTGAGCCTCTACAGCCCTTTTCTCCGTCGTCAGCGCCATCGGCACTTCTTTACGAGAGTTCTGTAGAACTCGTTCCTTTTCCCTCTCCCAGGCCTCGTCAAAGCCAGCATCAACAAGTGCAATCTTCACTTATTCAACACGCAGACACCCCTGGGGTCACTCAGTCTTCTTATACGCCTCCTGAGCGTGCGCCAAATTCGTTGCCAACTCGTCTTCAACCTGTAGAGCTTGGGCTACCTTCCTCGTCTCTTGAGACTGTGGGACGTGCGTCGGTTTCACATCAGTCTCATTATTACCTACCGTTTGAATCCAATCCTTTAACGTCACTTGATGCAAAGCTGCCGTTCAGGTCTCTTCCTTTATTTCCCGTCCCACGGACCAAAGCATCGCGTCTGTCGTCACCGACGCTCGGGCCTTCATCGTCGCCTTCTCTGCATTCACTTCCCTTTCCCCCAAATGCTCCATCGTCATCACCGCCGCTAGGGACGCAGCACATTTATCTGCAGTCACTAGATAATCCACGCCCGTTGTCTTCTATATGTCTTCTTCAAGTATCAGCTCCTCCTCCTTTCCCGCCAATCGCATCAAGCTTCCATTATGACTCCGCGCTGCCGTCGTTTCCGATCCCACTGAGAACAGATGCAGCGCGAATACCAGGAAGACGAGCCTTCTCGAGCGTGTACGCTGACAGTTGGCGCTCCACGCCTCCCTACGACGATGGCATCCTCCACACTTGGGACCAGTCGGTTTGTTTCTTTTCCTCCGTTTCTCATTTTATCCATTAGATTAACTATGTTATACTCATGCGTTACGTTCAAGTTTTCATTGTACTCCTTTCTCAAAATACCTTTTGACATTTTAAAATTATCATCAAATAAATTTAACTTTTTGAAACTTCAATATTAAATTAACATTAAAAATGTCTATTCATTGGAATACCTCTTTAATTAAAAATATTTTAGTAACATACAGAGCTAAAGAGAAAATACAATGACCGTAAAGTTAAAAAAGGCTGTACATCGAAACTACACGGGTTAATGAGGAAAAATAGCACATAGGGACAATGTCAGTTTTACTCTCAAAGTACGGAAATAGTTGCCCTTCGGCTTGTAATGAATTATTCACAATCTCAAAAAGGTTTCTCTTCTGTGCGGATCATTCAAGTAGCTGCATACCTCACAGTGTCCTATTATAATGTTTGTAGTTCAAAGTTCAAAGATAACATAGAGAAACGAAAATTCCGTGCTATTTCGGAATGCTGGAAATTTGGTTCGGATATGTTGAAAAGTACTGTTAGAGGATTAAATATTCCATGCGAATATCGATAATTTGAAGTTAAATTATATTATATTGATAGTCTTTATTTTAGTTTTATTTAAGCTTTACGGATTGTAGAGTCTCTTCCGCACGTAAACAATTCAATACTTGTGACAAGCTGTTGATTTGTGATATTTGAAGCAAAATCTCAAGAACATTCCTTTGGTGTGCTTATTTTTTTCTACGCTGGAAATATGGGTTAAGACGCTTTCTTAAAGAAAATCTTAATAAAATTGGAAATATCCTAACCTTAGAGGAAACCGGGAAATATTTGTCCCAGAGGCATTCATGAAATGCGTTAATTTACATTGCCGCTGCACAGATTTTATGATGAATTTGTGGGATCAGGATTTGAAAATGTACCCTGGTAATAATAGAGTACGTCCGTGAATATTCAATTTCATGTCCTCCTTTGTTGCAAGATCTGTTTTATCTCATCAAATTTCTCGTTTCGCCCGAGGAGGCTTCTCTGGCGTTTCTTTTCCTCGCACCCATCGAACTTTCGCTGGACACTTCACACACAGCTCTTACTCGGCCTGTGAACTCGTGCTATGAGAGACACGTAGTGAAATTGTATGGGGCGCGTATGTGCCTGCGCTCTCTGAAAAGTGCTCTTTGACGAAGGAATACTGTAATAGCATTTACCGTCGAGGTATGAGGATTATTGCCATATCTCGATAATGCAAGAAATCGTATTGCTGAAGTCCATTCTATTCGGCTGACATTCGCCAATATCAATGATTCATGTTTGAAACAGCGTGCAACGTAAATTGCTCTTTGAATGAGATGACACATTGACTTAGCTGTTCAGCTAAACGACGGGGAGAAAATTCCATGTTCGATCGTCTACACTTCAGATTGAATAATGTTGATACATCGAAGACGTTCTGCAGAATCTTATTGAAGAATTGCCAAACATATCGTTATGACGAAGTTTGAAGCGGATGAAGAAACGTCATCGAAAACAGTTTTTATTCAGGGGCAGTATCTGGCAGAACCATTTTCGTCGAACTTTCGATTGTCACTGAAAGCACTTGCATTTTTCGACTGTGCATGTGACAATGTGAAATAACTTGACTTGTGGAGTAATTTTGTGAACGTTTTAAAAATACAATGAATAAACGTATGTCGACAAAGAATTTGACATAATAAAGGAAGGTTTAATTTAAACGCATCGGAACAAACTGTTAAAGTGTCCTCTAGGCAGTAAATGTGGTGTTTGTTTCTCTTGTATTTTTTGGATTTCGAATAAACGGACACCGGGTAATGGGTAGTGTCGGAAGGCAGCGTGGGCGTCGAGCGCACGCGCGTGCGAGCGGGCCGGCTCTCGCGATGGACGCGGCGCACGCACGGCGGGGCCGAGCCGCGCGCGTGGGAACGGGGCCGCGTGAGAAGGTGGTCGCCGCGCCGCGTTCCCAGCCTCTCTCGATCGCCGCCCGGCCACGTCGCTGACCGCCCGCGTCTCCTCTCCTCTCCTCTCCTCTCCTCGCCGCACCGCACCGCACCGCGGCTCAGGCGTCTCCAGTGACGCGTCGCGGCGCGTCCGGACCGGCGCCGCGCCGCCGCGCGTGCTGTACCGCTCCGCACCTGCCGGCCCGCTCGCCTCCGCCCGCTGGGCGCCGCACGCATGTGCGCGTCGTTTCGCTTCTTGCAGTGGATCGCCAGCGCCAGCGACTTCTACGGCGTGTGGGCTCTTCAGGCCGTCACGTGGGCCGATTCCTCCTCGAACGTGAGTGCGCCTGTCGACGTGTTGGTGGTGCGTTCTTTCAACGAGAGGTGTTTGAAAAGAAACGAAGGCCGGCGTCGCATTTCGTCCGAAGCTTCTGAAGGAGGCTACGATCTGACCTGTTAGGTGTTTGAATGCGAGAGGAGGAAGTTTGGCCATGCCGGCCCTTCTGGCGCCGTCTCCTTCGGCGCGCCGCGGTGCGCGGAGGTCAGGCCGTGCGGAGGGCGTCGCCTTGCCCTTCTTCTGCTGCGCCTCTGTGTGTACTTTCTCTCTCCCACCCTGCCCGGTTCTGGACATCATCTTTTCAGGAGTATGTCCCCTTACTACTCGCATTGTCCTGGGCTAAATACATGTTCTTGCACTTTATCGTGCATTTTTTTATCATTATCCTTTTTTCATTCATACACGCTTCTTAATATTCTTGCCTTTTATTTCCTTTTAATATTTCATTTCTTCTTACCGCCTTTTCAGTTACTACTTGAATTTTCTCACTATGTATCTTTGCGGACTTGTTTGCTGTAGCGACTACTTGACCAGCTCAACATTCATGTTCGATTTCTCATTGTTTCTCTAATCACATCAATATCAACACTCGTATTCATATCATTCTTTAAATTCACATTGCTTGACAGAATCTTACCTTTCAAGTTTTCATTTTCATAGCATATTTAAATATGCATCTCTTCATGCTTCATAAATATGCGTCTCTCCATGCGTCTAAGTGCTTTCAATAATTATTACCTCCCCCTTGAATGTGTTTTTATTTTTTTATTTATCTGAAGGTAAATTCTCGAACTACTTTCTTTCCAGGAGAAAAAAAGAACATACTTGATGATACTCATTAATCCATGAAGTCATTTGTAAGTGTTATGATTTTGCAAAGAAATGCCAATGTGATACTGGTGTACCAAAAGATATCAGGAGCAATAGAAATCATACTAAGTGGTTCAATAGTTGTAATATTTTCTAATTGTGGTGTCATAATGGTTTAAATTTAACAACACCCTCCACCAAGTAGATGGGAAGATTATTCTTAAAATACTGTACAGCTTGTAACAATGACAATAATAATAATAATAATAATAATAATAATAATAATAATAATAATAATAATAATAATAAACAACTATAATAACAACAGTAATAACAGTGGATAATATTGTGATAAAAATGATGCTTAAATGTCCCCTTGCAAATGAATTACAATATAAATCAGTCTGAATAACATCTTATCAAGCTACTTGAAGCTTCATACAATTGATATTATATTCTTCCATTTTCCAAAAATACACGTACTGAATTGGGTATTATGCCGAAAAGGAAAACAAGATTAGTCTTTAGATACTTAATTTATCCAAAAACCTTTTTTGTTTCTTGTCATTTACTGAGTCACTGGCTTTGAATTATTTTTCTGCAGTACACAAAACCCATTGAAGAGGAGGTGCCAACGCCCACACCCCAGAGCCGGACAACAACAACAACAGTTGTGGCAACAGCCCTGGGTACGGGTACAGGTGTTGCAACATCTCCTAGTGCTACTGCAAATGGCACTCTCGACAAGAACCGCAACCATAACCATGGCAGCACGGCTGGAGTTGGCGTGGTGGGTGCGGGTGGTGGTGCAGGGGGTGATGCGCGCACTCCTTCTGACAAGGCACGGAAAAAGAAAATGTCAGACGAGGAGATCTTGGAGCGGTTACGCACCATAGTGAGTGTTGGTGATCCCAATCGCAAATACACCAAGATGGAAAAGATAGGTCAAGGGTAAGTTAACAATGAATTGTGGTAATAATAATATTATATCACTAAAGAAAATTGGAACTTCTAGGATTGTAGGAATAGGAGTGTGATTGTTTCCAAAAGTTGCAATTCTCATTGAATAAAGCTTTAATGACTTGTGGATTGGAATTATGAGAGTTAAGGAAAATGTGTTGTAAGAGTTAAGGAAAACGTTGCATCCACACCCTATGCCTTCTTTTCTTCAATTTCTAATGTGTGTCAAATTCATGCAATAGTGTACACTGCAAGCACTTCAAGCTTGAAAAACATCTCAATAGTCAAGATTCTTAGGTGTCTAGTTCGGGTATTTTCACAAAAGACTAATGGTTTCCCTTCAGAGCAAGGGTCTTACATTATAAACTTTACATTATTTGTTAAAGTATTAGCAAAGGTGAATTCTTCAATGTTTTGCAACTAGGTGTGAGGACAAGTTTGCTAGATTGATCTTGTTGATGTCTTATGGAAATCTTTTTAATTCACTAAAGATGTCCCAGAGATTGTGGTTAAAATTTGAGAAGGCACCACTGTACGCATGTAATTTAATCCGAAGGAGAAAGAAGTATTCCTACATCATGTTGATATATTGTCTAATTATTCTTTCACCTTGAACCAGTTAACAGTCATGTCATTCCAGTCTGGCGATTTTTCTTTTTTGGTAAATTTTGCAGAATTATACAATAGAACTACTTGACAAAGAAATGATAAATGGTACTATCTTTTCTCTCAAACATATGCGAACTTTTCAGCCAAAATTGTGAAAAATCATGACATGACTTTGATCATGACTCATAGAAATACCAGTACTTCATGTGAAACTGGATATAATACAGAAATAATAAAACATAGTCCAAAATCCATTTAACATAGTGAACTCACAGAGCATAATGGTATTTGTATTTACAATCAGAAATTGTCTTCCTTTTCAAAAAATTGAAATTTTTTTGTTATTGACAAATTATTTTCCATGCAATATGGCCCCAAATACGATAGATCAGACATCATTGACTTTGCAGTATTGTTGACTGGGAAGTACTAGAATTCTACCCTGATGGTGGTGGATTTTCAACACTAGCTACCAGCTTAGATGGCTCAGGGCATCAATTGACGTCACTGCAGGGCCTGCTGACCTAGGGGTTCTAGGATTAGAGTCCAAGGAGGATTTTCAACACTAACTAGATACATAGGTCGAATTCAGCCACTGTCTGGAGGATAATTCTAGCAGTCGACTGTTCTGATCAGTAGTTTTCCGTGGTTTCTTTGATCAGCACCAGGCAAATGCTGTTGCAGTAGTAACAAATGGGCTACAGACTGCGCACAATCTCTCCTTTCTCTTCCTTGTCTCATCCTCACTTACACTTACATGCACCAAACTACCGCACATGCCAGGAGCTTAGAGCATGTCCAGGCTGGGACAGTGTTTTGCTGGTGGGAGACACCTGGTTGGGGGGAAATCCCGCAAGAGGACAGGAAGGTTGGTGCCATATCTCAGTATCCAGTGAGGGAATATCGCTACCAACTCAAAAACTTTGCCAACTTATTGCTTGCACTTGTGCGAATGCATCCTGAATGTGTGTGCAATGTGGATGTGTGTATCTTTGGCCATAGACATGCGTTTATGTTGGCTAAAGCGCCCCTAAGCAGCTCTACGCAACCTGCCTCACCCTCAAGTATTAAGCATATCTTTGCTGCATATTCTGCTTATGTGATGCAAAATATTTGCCAGAATTATTACTTGAATGTGATCTTGGACAAGTATATCAAATTTCTCCCAGACAGTGTAACTGCGAATGCATGCCGCAACTTGAAGGAGAACGTTTTAACAAAGAATACTTGACAACCATGTCCAAACCAGGACATAAAATAAATCTATACTCATGAGAAAGTCTTTCATCTGTTAATACTTCACAGAGCATGGCTTAAAATGTGATTTACAACCACATGGCCAGTTGTGTGTGAAGTGTGGTAATAGCAAAACATTGCCAAGTTCACTAGTACAGTATAAAATATCTGATTGGATGATACAAAAGTTGTGTACACGGTAGTTTTGAAGCACATTTGTAGAACACTCCCAATCATTTGATCAACATCTATTCTGATTTACATTGACATTTTACAGATATTTCTTTTCGTTGCTGGATAAAGAGTTGGTATTTTTGTACAATCTTGACATGCATTGGCACACTGATTTTTGTAATCATTCACTGCTAGCCACAATTGTATAAATTCATTCAGTTTTCATGCCACATACTGACTAAAAATATGTAGTTTGGAAAAGAAAATAGTTCCTTATCAACTTTGATCTCATGTCAAAAATGAGAGTTTCTATTCAATTAAATATTTTCATACGTCTGATATTAATGCAAAATAAGAAACCATACACTCCTCTTTTTTTTCTTTTTTCCTCCTTCTGGGGTTGCCAACTCGGCTATCTGCCCTGGACTATTAGTCAGCTTAATGTTACTTTGGATGATCAAACTCCATTTGTAAATTCTTTAATTGACATAATGAAAATTGTTTTTGGCAAGTCTTTAGCTGAAGGTTGTTTCCCCTCTGAGACAATGTCATTCTCCTCCTGAGACAATGTCAACTTTCATTTTAAAATTAGTAATAAACGCCCTATAACACGCTATTGACCTATATCTATTTTGAGTGTAATCCTGAAACTCTTTGAATCTATAAAAGTAAGTGTAAAATCAAGTGTAAAATATTTCCCAACCTTTATATTAGGCAATTTGGTTTTATGAGTAGATGAGTCAAATCTGATGTACTAAGTCCAGTACATTGTTAACGCCTTAGAAAAGAAACACCAGATCGACAGTATATATACAGATATCAGTAAGACCTTCAATTTTGTCAATCACAAATTACTAGTACAAGCTTTTGATTTTTCTGGTCTGCTCCTACTTTCGGTTACTTAACCAACTGAACACAATTCGTTAAAATTGAAAACGTCACTTTAGAAGGGTTCATGGTTCTCTCTGGAGCCCTCTCATCTGGAACTGCTACTCATTATTGTATTTATAAATTATATCTACCTCATGGTTACAGATGTAGAGTTGCTCATAATTGCAGGCGATTTTAAACTCTTTAAGTCAATCTCGTGCATAAATGGCAACATTCCTTACAATAAACGCTAAGTGCATTAGCTAAATAGTGTTAAGAGAATGATCTTGTATTAAATGCTACCAAATGCAAATCTATTACATTCTCTTGTTTTCGATCAGTAGCCTATTACCAATATACCGTAAATTCATTACCTCTCGAATGTGTCTCTGTGATTCAGGATCTGGGTGTATACTTCAACTCTAAAATGTTGTTCGTTAACCGTAATGACTACATGACTAATAAAGCCAACCAAATTCTTGGTGTTGTCCGAAGAATATGTGCTGAACCCAACACTTTAAACATTTAAAAAACATTATATCCAATGCTTGTTAAATCTATTTTAATGTTTGCATCTGTGGTCAGGTCTCTTGTGTTTTCACATTCATTCTGCTAAAATTGAATTTGTCCAGTACATGTTCTTCAGAATTACTGCAACACGTTTAGGCATTTGTGACCCTTACATTGATCATGATTATTGTCACATATCTTCCACCCTAAACATGCCCTATATTTTGTCTCTTCAAAACTTAAGTGATATCTTGTTTGTGTTTAAGTTAGTAAACAGTGGAACTGCCCTCTGTTAATCGAAGAATTGAATTTTAGAGTCTCTGCAATTTGCTCTAGAAATAAAGATACTTTCTCCTTGGTGACCTGTACAAATACCTACACTGCAAGTAATCCTATCACTAGAATAACTAGGATGGTAAACGAGCCAGATTGCATCATTTGGTGTCCAGCAGAACATTTTTTTCTGAATTTTGAATTTGTATTTTACTTTATGAGGGATTATGATATTTGTATTGTTATCATGATATTCATGAGTCATTTTTTTCTTAACATTATTTCTGTATTATTCTATGTTTGAATATTGGACTAAAGTCTGTCAGATTACAAATAAATTAATAAATCTGCACCTGGTACCAACCATGTCCCTTGGGGAAACAAATTATCCTTTTACATTAGACAGTTTGCGGGTTTCGTCAGTCTTTGGTCAGCAAACTGACAAGGCCTTCTGCAAAAACACACATTTATAAAGGACAAGGGACAAATAGCCATGCCAACAGTGGGCGCTGAGAGGGCATGCACTGTAGCCACTTTGGCCATCCACGAGGTTGGCACACTCCTCATATCCTGTACATTGTTGAAATTTACAAAAAAAAAGTGTTAACACAGTAGATTTGGTTCTTTCACTCTGTAAATATTCGTTATTAAATTATTTCTTTTGTTTGGACAGGGCTTCAGGAACTGTATATACTGCCATAGAGACGTCCACTGGCATGGAGGTAGCTATCAAACAAATGAACCTGTCACAGCAACCGAAGAAAGAGTTAATTATTAATGAAATTTTAGTAATGCGGGAGAACAAGCATGCTAATGTTGTTAACTATTTAGACAGCTACCTTGTTGGTGAAGAGTTGTGGGTGAGTAAAGTGTCTAGTAATACTCTAGTTTTGAAATATGTGGAGACTACAAACTTGATTCAATTACTTCCATAGAGTATATTTTTATGTTATTTATCATAGATACTTAGATGAAACATTTATGTATTATTCATTAAATAAAACAGTATTAATATCGTGTCATAATTTTATTAAAGTAATATTAGTGACACTTGCATAATGTCCATACTATCCAGTTCTTTTATCAATTTAGTGAGGCAAAACTTTTTTTTGACAAAAACAGGTTAAGTCAAATATAGTAAATATAGTTTTTAATGGTGAGAGTGTGGTAGGTGGTTTTTTTGTGTTTCATTTCTTGATTTTTGTTCTAATAGTGCTGATGTGGTCTGCAAATCAGTAGATGAAACATGTGATGACATAAGCCCACTTCGTTTTATTAAAAAATTGTTATTTAAGTGTGTAAATTTCTCAATAAAATTGAGAAGAATATTTCTAATAATTCTAGGAAAAAATAACTATTAGAGAAGAGATGTGCTATTTGAAGACTGTTTTTTAGTTTGTGTTGTATAAGTAATGATATTAGAATAAGATTAAATTTTGTAGGAGGATTTGCGAAAATGTCTGAGAAATCCTTGTAATGTATTGTCCATTATAGTATATTCTCCCTGAATGTTGATTTGCAAAATATATTAATTTTCGTTTTGTTGTTTACAGGTTGTGATGGAGTATCTTCCTGGCGGATCACTTACTGATGTTGTTACAGAAACGTGCATGGATGAGGGTCAGATAGCATCTGTATGTCGTGAGGTGCTCCAAGCTCTTGAGTTCCTTCATTGTAATCAGGTCATTCATCGTGATATCAAATCAGACAACATTCTTTTGGGTCTGGATGGCAGTGTCAAGCTGAGTACGTGTTTGTTTAATTTCCAAATGTACAATATTGTATTTTCCTGAATATAAGACAAACCCCTAAGTATGAAGAGATCTCCTGTGAATATTAAACATTTTTAACTAATTCGTACTATTCAGTCAAAATAAAATTTCAAATTGTGTAATTCACTAGAAAATTGTCTTGTTGATGAGAATGATAAAACGTGTCGCCTGAACTGTGACTATTTTCTTGTTCCTTAAAATTGTCATAATTATGCTGCTTGTCGTTACCCTCTTCACTTCATGCGTATCATGCTTCTTTCTTTATAGTCTTCCCATATGACAGTGTCTTCAGACTTTTTAGGCCCCCCTGAAGTTTTGCATGTTGAATTTGACCACACCTAAGAATATTCATTCTTGTGTCACCAGATTTTCTTTTTGTCCACTCCTGCTTGTGGGGTCAGACAATTCTTTCACATTCTTTAATGGAATGTACTGTATTTACCCAAATATAAGATGGCCCGCTCATTTTAAAGAGGCCTAATGAGAATTTTTAATTAATTTTTACTACTAAGTCAAAATAAAATGGCAAATTATCATATTGATTAAAAAATTGCTTTGATACGAATGTTGACTTGCTGCCTGAGCGATCATTTTATGTCCCTTACAATATCTTAATCATGTTTTTGTCACTACCTTCATCATCGCACATGTACAATGTTTCTTTCATTTTGATGCTTCTTCAATGCTGCTTCATCTTCTCACGCTTTAGTGAAGTAGCTTCTCACGCCCTCTGAAAGTTTTGCATGTTGAATTGCCTTGATCTTACTTTCATTCAGACACTTCTAAGAACATTCCTTCTTTGTTCATCAGATTTTTGTGAAAACAACTTAAAATTAACAACTTGGTTATACTGTAATTGTGATTGGAGTTGTGAACTGCATACTCATACATCTCTCTGTATTTCTGGCAAAGTGGGAGTCACCAGCAAGTTTCCAATTTGGAAAGTATTAGCTTAGAAAGTATGTTTGAGACCATCCTTTTCCGTTTATTTCATTTCCGTCTCAATGCAGAATTGCACTACTTGGTTCCAAGATTCTGTGCTGCCTTGTCAAACTCTCACTGTGTAACAAAATCTCTGTGTTCATTAGAGAAATTTAGAAAATTTTGAAATTGAAACGAAATCTAGTATTTAATTTCTGCTTGAAGTAGGATCCACTTATTCTGATGTGCATCCTGATTAAAATTCTATACTGACAAAATATCAGAATTTTTGGGCCACACAGTCATCAGGAACAAGGAAATGAAAATACAGTCGGCATAAAACGGTGAGAGGTATTTAAGAAAAATAAATATATTTTTTAACACTAATTTTAGGTAAAGATTCAGTTAAAGGGAAGTAAGGAAGTGTAAAGGGAAGAGGGGAGAATTTACTTGTGAAGACCAAAGAGGAACGCAAAGCACCAGAAAATGAAACACAGCCCAATATTACTGAAGATTTAAAACGTCATTTTGAAGTTACTCAATTGTAAGCTCTCACTATTCAAGAAAATTTGTGCAGGGGAAATATTTCGTAGCAAACCTGAGTATAAGTAAAACATACAAGTTATAGTATATGAATAGTGTGAAGATGAAAAAAGATGTATACTTGTATTACATGCACACTGATTTTCTGGAAGGTTTAGAACTTGACATTTTTTAAACCAAAGAAGGACCATAGCCAACTCTGCATAACACATGCAAGTGCAAATGGTGTTAAAACATCTCTAGCAGCTGATAATTATCCTGCACATTTACACACATTTACAAAGAAAAGCAGACTGCCAAAGAAGGGCCAAAACCAAGGATAAGAGAGAGAGATTAATGATGCTACATTGTCATATTAGACCTGCAGTCGGTATTACAATTACCATCTTCTAATGTCAACCAGATGTACTACAATAGGAAAATTGTAATCTCAGAATTTATTAATCAGCTCTGCTAAATAGTGCATACTGCTTTGTACAGACTGGAATACATAGAAAAAGGGGTGGCTCAGAAATTGATCTTGTTTGCATCTAGAGTTTTCGGCAGATTGTTGTTTTTGTTTTTGGATGCATGCTGAGGGCAGAATAGAAATATCACTCACACTTTTATAGCATTTCTTTTGCTATCACATTTTCAGGTAATGGAGCATAAATATATGAAAAGTATGAAAATATACAAGGGAGTGGATTATATGCATAGTGCAATGGGAAAAGCAAAAATGTTTGTGTAGATAGGAACAATGTAGGGTTGAGTGACTATCTTCCATGCTCAAAAGGAGTCAAGGGTAAATCACCAAATCATGTGAATAAATTGAAATTTAACATGGTTTAATGTGTATATTTTGTGGCTTTGAAACCATGTTCAAAGGCATTATAAAAAGTAAAATAAAAAATATGAATGGAAAAATTATTAAGTGATGTACTTGACAAAAGTTTCAAGGATTATAAAAGAAATCTACCCCCAAAATTCTGCACAAACCACCACACAGAGATCAAGTTTGGGGAAAAAACGAAATATTTTTGGTCACAGAATGATGTTGTGCTAGCCATAAATCTTAAGTATTTAAGAATTTAAGGTGTGGTTATTCAATAATACCACAAAACTGCAGCAATTATTAAGTTTATTTTTACCTTTAATTTTAGCTGATAGCTGGAACCTCTATTATTAAAATACGTCATATTTATTCATTTTTGCATTGCAGCGGACTTCGGTTTCTGTGCGCAAATATCTCCAGAGCAGTCAAAGCGCACTACCATGGTTGGTACACCATATTGGATGGCACCGGAAGTGGTAACACGGAAGCAGTATGGACCTAAAGTTGACATCTGGTCTCTTGGTATCATGGCAATCGAGATGATAGAAGGAGAGCCACCGTACCTCAACGAAAATCCACTTCGGGTACATTTGGATTTTATAATAATAATAATTGTTGTTTGGTTTTATAGGCTTTACTTAAAACAATTGATTCTTACCTAATTGTATTTAATATTTACATAAAACAATATGGATTGATTGGTACTAGTTGTTATTGATTTTGAATCCTGATACAGGCGCTGTACTTGATAGCTACCAATGGAAAACCTGAGATCAAGGAGAAAGAGAAGTTGTCCCAAATCTTCCAGGATTTCCTGGACCAGTGCCTAGAAGTGGAGGTGGAGAGGCGTGCCACTGCTTCTGAACTGCTCAAGGTAATTCACCTGTGGAAATGTACTTCTGTTCTTTTTGCTGTGATTTGTCTAGGAATGTCAATGTGAGAGGAATGCAACATGAGAAAATTCTTGGGGGTTTTCTGATCAGATCAAGGTAGGAAGAACAGATCTCATTATAAACTCTTTAACACTATAACTGCACACTTATGTACTACTCAAATTTGTTATACATTTTATTTAAATAATATAACTGCATGTTATACTCAAATAATCTTTGCATATCTTTTTTCAAAAAAAAAGTGTAGCAGAAAATTGGGGTATTATTCACATCAAGATTGGAATTATATGTACACGAATTTGTTGAGTTCTAAAATGCCCACCTGCCCACCAACCTCCTTTACTAACATTAGTTGAATTAAGAATAAATGATAGCATTAAGCATTGTTGGTAAAATAGGTATATAGAAATGTTCGCTTCTGTGTAATAAAAACTATTTTGCATTGAAAAAATAGTTACAGGTTTGATATAAAAGTCCTCTGATTGAAATAGCCCCCTCCTCTCTCTCATGTAGTGAAATAAGGGCTCCAGATTGTGGTTCAACGTTAGCAAAGTAATAAATTAATACAACTTTTTTCTTGCAATAAAAGTGAAGGAAGCAAAAAAGAAAAGTAAAAAAACAAGTTTTTTCTAAGATTCCTTCCCTTAAAATTAGGGTGTGGCTGTTATTTGAGTATATACGGTATACATTCAAAATTTTTATATAATATATAGAAATGAAATTGTGGTTCAAAAAAATTTGAATCACTAGACCATGTTGCTGTAAAATTTTCAATGGATCTCTTTGAATGTTTTTGAAGGACATTCAAAAACATTTCATTAAGAAAAAAAAAAAATTTCTTCAATATTGCAATTCTGAAGGAAATTTGGACTTTTATGAATTTAAAAAAATGTAAAGAGTTAAATGAAAATACAATCCATTCCATTTCTTTAAGTATCTTTCAGTCCATCCAATGAAAAAACATTTATTAGAGCAACTAATTGAGTACCTATAGAAACTAGAATTATCCACTGTTTAGATATCAGGGCTCCTTCCACCCTAATTACAAATTACAGCAATCAAATTCAACAAAACACAAGATTGTTTGTTATGATCATCTCTACTAGTAAAAGCAAAGCCATAGCTTTTTTTCCAAGGGAAAGATATTAGACAAGTTAAGATTAGCAACAGGAGAGATACTAAACAAAGTGTCAATATTTTGCTATGTAGGCAAAGAAGCAACATTTGTAGCCTTTTTTGTTTATGTATTTTGATTATTTCACTCAAAATTAAGTACAAACTATTCATATTTTGAAAACAATTGTTCATGACATTACTTATAGATTTAGTTTTGAATAGATTTCAATGACTCAAAATATCTCTACCTTCAGGATCAGTCCATTTTAAGTGGTCTAGAATTGAATAATTTGGTTGCTCGACCATATTGGGGAAAAAAATAAATATTTTGTACATAAATTTCCTTATGTTTTGACTGTTAAAAAAAATCGTTAATTTTATTTATTGTACCTGATATATTAATGGCGACAATTTTTGTTTTACACCGTGTGCCATTTTTTGCATTTGTAGACTCTTAGTCTTTTCTATATTACTCAGCTCTGGGTTGTTCTAACATCCTAAAATTAAAAGAATTGAATTCAGTATACTCTGGCCAACAAATAAAAATAGTATTTACATACCTTCTATGTTTTCATTTGGGAAATATTTACAACCAAATCTATGGAACCTGAATGAACGAAATTCGATTGTCAGAGAGTAATTTATCAAAGAAAGAATAGAATCTCAGCCTTAATTTTTTGTGTGATTTTACACATAACAATATAGTTACTTTTTGTAAAATATCATTGAAAAATAACATACCACTTGAAAATTACATCCTCTTAAAAATTGGAATTTTGGTTTTCTTTCCAAATTTTCACCTTACATATCTTTGTTCAGGAACCAGATTGAAATTGATTTGAAAATTGCACACATGCTAGATCACTGTGATAACCAACTTTTGTAAAAATATCAACTTTTAGATTAAACTTGAAATTTGTTTTGTTTGGTTATTTTTTTAATTGTATTATTATTATTATTATTTGTAATCATACTATTTTGAAGCTATTATTAAACTAAAATCTTCAATGATTTAAAATAATTAATTATTTTTTATTATTAATTAACATAAAAGTGGCCTAATATATAATTTTCAATATTAATATATTCTTTTCTTTTAGGTGACTTAACATGTACGTTTGTAATTAAAAATATGAAGTTAAGTTAATCTTGAAGCTAAAAGATGATCAGCCAATATAAAAATTGTTTGTGAAATATAAGAAATATATAACGAAAATAAATTCAATTTGCCATTCTGCTTTTTATTTCTGAATGTTTGTGCAGATATGGACGGTTGCCCAAATAACGTCTCAGTTAACAAACAATGCAAGAGAATCGGTGGATATTGTGTCAGGGCAATTTGGGAAGGTTCAGTTGAAGCTACTGCCAAACTTAACCCTGCAACTCTTATCATTTCTTAGAATTTCAACAACCTTAGGTTTGGTTATCTGACAGAACCAACGCAATGGGCCGAGGATTTCAATGCTTTCAAGATATCACATAGGCTTTTGAATAGTCTATGAGATTGTGGCTTTGTTGTTGTTTTCCCTTTCCGTCAAAATGTGTTTCTGTGTCTTTGTGCACAGTTGTGTGAACATTGATCAAAATGGAGTGCGTGTGTTGTATAGGTGATTTTATTAATGACGTTTGCCATAAAACTGTTTATGAAGTTTTCCATAAGGGCATTAACTCAGTTGAAGACTTTGGTGCAAAGGAAGAAGTGTTTTCATTAAAAATGAACTCTGATATTGCATCTCCCTATTAGTACCATGAGATAAAATACAAAAATTTTATCTCTTTGACTAGTCTTCTTCAGATCCTTATAACAAACCTGTATCAAAAGGATTGAGACAAATAACTTTAGCTCTTTATTACAAGAATAATTTTTTTTGGGACAATCTTATACTATGGAAATCGTTGTGTCCAACATGTTATTCTAATATTCAGTCTCAATCATTGCATCTAAGGAGTACTGTGCAACTGTCCATATCTCTATAGAAACGTTCAGAAATAATAAGTAGAATGGCAAATTTAAACCAATCCAAACTTTAAGGCTAAGTAACGGCTCTAGGAAAAAAAATTGTTCTAGCCCTTATTTTCAAAAAACAGGACTGTACAAAGAGATAGTAACATACGTTCTTCTGGGATAATACACACACACAAACCTCAGAAAGAATTTATAAGTACTGAAAATTAAAGCCACTAGAAAAAAGATTTCAAAATTCAGAGTTGTTCAAAGTAAAACAAGTAACATTTTTGGCTGATGTACATGAAAACTCAAAAACTTAAAAAAAAGAAGAAGAAGAAGAAACCCTATGAAAAAAAAGTCTAATCAAAGGTTTTCAGAGAAAAAACTGCCAATATTTTGCAAACATCAGTGTTCTTTGTTCATTATTTCGTTGTGAGAGTGGTGAACGATCTATTAATATCATTTCACATTTGCTCTTCAAGAAAACCTGAGAGTGTGAAGTTACTGTTAGCAAAGCAAATGTAGTGAATTTTATTTAGTTTGAAGAGCATTTTTATATAAAAAGATTTGTGAGTAAACACAGTGTCTACCGATTATAATTATAATGTAGGCATTGCATTTTTATATTAAGGTGTACAGTAGGACTTCTTTGCCATAGTTCCCTACAACATACATATATAGATCTCAGTAAATATACATTTCCATTAAATTTCCAAAACCTGTTCAACTCTTTGTTCACAGATAATAGTAATTGTATTCTTCCAAAATTTGTAAATCTCCCTCCTTTGTTAGTCTTAGAGTATTAATACTTATTGACATGAACCATTGTTTTCCTTATAGTGAACATTTAGAATATTGTAACTTTTCTTTAGTCAGTTAGATATTAATTAACATCTGAGAAATGTTTAATATTGAGAGGAGGAAAAGTTTGGGAATGTCACTTGTTTCCTGTTCGTGAGCTTTTTGTGTAATAGCTTGTAAGGGCATTCATTAGTCTTTTACTTTGTAGAATGTAGATTTTTTAAAAATAGAGGCCAAAATAGATTTTTTGTGGAGCCTATAATTTGACTTAAATTTTGGCTGTAGAGAGGTATTTTTTTCTGATGTTTTTTAGTTTTCGTGTATATTTGCATAAAGGTATTTGCACTCGTATATTCACATGCATGGTTCATGTTTTACCTTGTGTAACGTTGAATTTTTTAACGTAAAGATCAGAAAAAATATATATCTAGAGCCTAAGATTACTCTAAAATTTTGTGCAGTGTTGAATTTTTACTGGCTTTTTTTTAGATTTTGTATATTTTTCCCTAGAGATTACAGTTAATTCATTCAAGAGAGTAGCGTTAAATCATTTAGAGCCTTCAATTTTAGAATTTTTGATTTTTCAGCGACTTCCAATTATGTCAAATTGTATTTTCCAGGTGGGCACTGCTTGCCTTAAGACTAAAACTAGTGGTGCTCACAATTTTGGGAAATTGACTAGAGCCCAAATTCAGGAATAGAGCACTTAAGTAGCCTAAAATTAGCCTTTAATTTTGGAAATGGTTTGGTTGGGTTTATTTCTTGATGGCTGAGAGAAACTTCAAATAACGCTTGAAAATAATTTATTTATTGAAGAGAATTTATTATTATTTATGCTTGTCTTAATAAGATTATTTGAGAACAGAGTTTTTTCTAATTATTTTCAAGGTAACAGAAATCTGTGAACAGGTTAGTGTATGTTAATGCTTAGAGAATAGGCAAATTTTGTTATGTGTGTGTTAAAAATGTGTGTAGCAGGAAATATAATGAAAAGATTCATTTCCACTTACTTGAGAGGAGTATTCGCAGAAATTGATTATTATTTATCATTAGGTTGTCTTAACTATGTTCTGCACCCAAAATAAAGAGCAGTGACTCTGAAATCATTCTGTATTCTTGGTATTAAGCAGTTTTAAATATATGCATTTTTTTGGGTGGAGCATGTCTGTATGACATAATGAGTATGAATGGAGAAAAATTCCAAGAATGGGTTTTGATATGTTCCAGCACCCGTTCCTGAAGCTGGCACGACCATTGGCAAGTCTCACCCCACTCATAATGGCTGCCAAAGAAGCAGCTAAGAACCACTAGTGTCGGTAGAGCAGACTGGCTTCTGCAGTGGTGGTTGGAACCATCACTGGACCTTAGTGGTGCTCATATGGCCAGCCCTCTTCCTGACTGTCCCAACGCAGTTAGTTGACAGGAAATTTATTTTATAACTTACATCAGTGCTGTACAGTATCAGTAGCTTTGATGCGTTGACCAAACTGCAGCCTGACCACAAAGTTGCAGTGTTGCAGGCTAGTGAACAGCCATAGGCCTTCCTGTTGTTTTCAGATTAAATGGTTTGATTGGCGTTTACTCTGTTCTCTTTGAAAGAGACTGGCTGTTCACATTCCTGCATCTGTGGGCAGGTTGCAGATACCTGCAAGGGGGGAAATGTCGGGGAAGTTGGTGCAAGGGGGAGTGTTTCCTGGCATCTAGAGAACACCCCTTGAAGATTGCAGAAAGAAGTTGGAGTGTGCTGTTGTGAAGTGCAGGTGCTCTGACTGGCCTGTCTGGGGGCTGCTGCACTTAGCTGCTGTGTTGCCTTCAGTTATTTTACCTGGCTAGCAGTGTTGGTAGTTTTTTTGCAGGCATTTGATCAAATTAAAAAATTTACCGCCATGATGTGGCTAGCACAAGTGTTGTACCTTTCAAGAGGTACTGAATGTGGCCCCCAGCTTCCAGTCTGCAGCAAGATGCAGACAGTCTCACAGTTTAGATGTGTGCCTCTAAGTAATTATTAATACAGATAATAATGAACTCTTAAGCCCTAGCACGAATTAAAAAATAAGAAGCTGTATCATAATTAGTTAACCAACTCCAATTTCATTGTAAATCTTTCAAAACATGAATGAAGATTAAGTAAAAGATATAGAGATTCCTTTCTTAAGAAAATAGTTTATAAAATTCAACTACAAAAAAATTGTACATAATTGCAGCAGTATTTTTTGTCATTAGTTCTCCATTAATTCAGTGCCTGATGACTGTTTCTAGGCCTGGACGGAAAAAGATGGTAGTGAGATATTTCTTCTTTTTTTTTAAAAAAAAAAAGCATACTATAATTCCTTTTATTATTATTTTTACTGCCTTTTTAAAATAATTGTTTCCTGTGATGGCTTGTGTGTGGTGGTGCTCAAATTTATGTGGCACTCGTTGTCGGCCTGGCCAGCACTTGCAAACTTCCATGGAGTTATCTGGCAAATTCAGATGTTAGTAGTTGTGCTTTACCTCTTCAGTCTTGTTGAAGATTTAACTACTACACATTTAACTCTTTTTAATAGCTTTATAGCAGCTCTGGACACTTGACTTGTTTATATATTATGATATTTTATTAGAATTGATAGTTGCTAGTGTTAAACATTTTATTTATTGTGGATAGAGCATATTGCTAGAAACAAGACTATCTGGTAGATTGAAGAATCTGCGTGTGATAAGCTGTGGCTGTCTTGTCTGACCTTGCTTCGGACAGACACATGATTAGGTCAGTAGATGCATTATTGTGATCATAGCTGGTTTCATGATATGAAACTATGAGCTAACACTGCCTTTTGTGGGGCTAGCTTGCCCAAGGGTCAGGTCGGCTAACCTGCTGGAATGCAGGATGACGAGGCCACAAGTCACCCCTCTGTACTCTACGTTGAGTGATTTGGGCTTTTTATATAAATATTATATATTTAAAATGGAAAAACTTTGCAAGTATTCTTATGTGATCAAACCACTGTTTGTTTGTTTTTGTGAATGAATGAGCTAGCGTGATTGTTTCTTACCAAAATGATTTCATTGTTACAAAAAAGTATTGATGGATTGTATCTCAGTTTTGTAAGCACATTAAGTAAAAAAACGAGGTTGCTGAATTTATTGTAATTATTGAATGTGAATATCCTTAACTTAGTTCCTATTTCTTGGGATTTTTAAATAACTGATATACTACAAGCATTCCTTAATATTCTTCCTTTGTCTCCCTGAAAATACTTCATTTAGTGGGCAAGCGTTCTACTGATAACAGCAGTATTTGAATTAAGTTCATCACTATTTTTATGAATTAAAGTTTCTTGTAAATTTCTTTGCACTGCTCTTGTTATCTAGTAAAGATTGTTTTAATGTTAGATTGATACAAAATTCATATCGATATAAATTTCTCTAAGATTTACTTATTGCAAATAAAATGCAAAAACTAGACTAAAATGCAGCCTGAAATTTCCTATATTTTGGGCCCAAGTCAGTTCATGGTTAAACAGTAAGTTCTTTTTATTTCTAATTTACTTTTTTACAACTAAATAATTTACCATTTTTAATGTGAATCTTTTTTCATCAGGTGCAAAAGGCATACAAAAGGTTGTTGGTTTTCCCCCCCTTCTAAAATGGAACTGAATCTGAAAACCCAATGCTTCACAATTTGTACAACCCTCCTAGCCAATTACCAAATAAAACCATTATGTGGTAAACACTTCGAAAAACTTCAAAAATGAAAATTTGGGAATAGTCCAATAATATTACATGATTATTTCTAGAGTAAAATAATTTCCTACTCCGCAAATCAAGAGTACATTTTGAAACACTTTCAGGTAGACGAAAGGCATCTAATGCTGAAATAACCTGGTATTCTCAAATATCACAATCGTCTATTAAACTGGAAAGGAATGAATGTTACTCAGAGTTTAAAATTTATATAATTTTATTTAAATCATAGCCATGCCACACCTTGCCCAGACCTGCCTCACAATCTGTAACACTGATACTTTAATGGATTGTAGAATGCTTAAAGAAAATAGCAAAACAAAAACATTTTTATTTAAATAAAAGTATATTATAAAATATGCATTTTCCTTTCTTTATAATTAAACTCTTGAAGGTTCTGCATTTTATCAGGTCCAGTTCACACTGTTTCACTTCAAGGAACGTTCTTTCTTTCTTTTAAAATACAGGGGTTGAATGTGGTGGTGGTGGTAGTGGTGCACTACACACCAACTCAGTTTTAAATCAATATTTTTTATGTTCATCATCAGTTTTCTGTCTGGCATAAAACGAGGGTACATTTTCTGTGGAATTCTCATATACAAAACATAAATAGTCAATCTGTATAAAGAAACATGTTAGTTGCATTAATGGTGGCCATGATGTAAAACTGACATTGCAATTATACATAAAGCAGAAACTTCTTTTCAATCACATTTTATATTCTGCTTGTTCAGAAGCCACTTTGTTAATACTATACCTTTATAAGTTGAAATTGCTTCCAAGAAGGCAGATAGTCCAGTGACTTGTCGTACCTCTGCTCATGTCAAAATTTTACTCACACTGTGTAGAAATATAAAATTCCTAACAATTGAATCCCAACTTTCAAAAAAGTAAACAATTTTCTAATTCTGAAGTCATAAAATAAGAAGTATAGATTGAAAGCAGGTAACTATGTCAAATCTAATCTCTTTCAGACAACTTATGAATTTAAAAAGCATCACTACGTATTTAACAATAAATATATAACTTCTATTACTTATAAAAATTCTAAGAATAATTCAATGAAATATTTTTCAAACAAGCATTGTACATTTTGTATCTCCAGCTTCTACTGAATTTCTGGATTTGGATTAAAGCGGATGTAGTAACAACAACTAAAGATTATTTGTCAATGAAATAGTACATTTTTTAGATCAACTTTATTGTATATAATATAGTAGTAATACTACAATATCGTTACTGACTAGGTGTTATTTTCATTTCAAATAAAAATGTTAAATACACATTAAAAATTGCAAATTCAGATCTTTCACAACTGCTCATACATAGCCTCTTCAGATGAAAAGCAGTTTTAACCACAAAGGATGTTGAATCCTATATGTGGGTTAGTCATGAAAGCCCTACACCTTTAGCACAACCAATCACCAGTACTCAGTTAGCTTATTCTACAGAATTTAACAAATGACATACAATATATCTCAGGACATTTTAAGTACACTGTTTGAGTACTGAATGCACAACTTAGGAACCTGAGCTACTGCCCCACATACAAACAAGGCACTTGTGTACTTAGAGAGGCCCAATACATTCGAGTATATCTTGCACATACAGTTATGCGTTCATATTATTAATTAGCCCAAAATGTGCTTGTGCAGAAAGCATGAGCCTTTCAGTAAATATTAACAAATACAGAAGAGTGCAGAACCAAACCTAACAAAGCACAAATACAAAAAAAAACAAGCTCAGAGCAGTATGTGAGATTCAAAAAGTTATCACAGAAACAGGTCAGCCACTAACTCGCTACCTGATAGGAAGCTCTGTGCCTGGCAAGGCTCTGGCTTTTGGCACGGGGTCCCTGTGCTGGCATTCTTAAGAGGATGCTAGCAAAGGCTGACATGACTAGTAGCCTGCTCTGCACAAGCACAACTTAGCAATTATCTTAGGCCTTTACACACAACTACTTCTCAAGTCATGTTTCAGGGATTGTGACATCTCATTAACTGCAAACATATGAAAATAGTATAGAACAGACAACTAAGCACTTAATTTGAAAACACAGTGTTACAAGTAGTTTCACACATTTCTTTAAGTATAATACCACAAAAATATTGTGTTCATTTTTTGAGTTGTAACAATCCTTGCATTTCTCTGAGAAGTTGAGATTGAACTGTATGTTCAGAAAGAGTAGTAAGAACTTGCTTGTTATAGAAAGATGTCAACTGCACCAGCAGTTGCACGAGAGGACACTCCATTTCTTCATCATGCTGCCTTCTAACTGCATAGTGCTAGTTGGGCCTGATGTTTTATTCAGGCTGCGCTGACTGTGCTGGGTAGAAGTTAAGAGAGGCACTGTTGATGCAGAAACGCTTCCGTGTGGGCTTTGGTCCATCATTGAAGACGTGGCCTAGATGCGCCCCGCATTTTGCACAGGTGACTTCAGTCCGCACCATGCCTGGGTTGGCGATTAACAAGAGAAGGTTGCCTCCAACTGATCGGTTGAAGATGTTGCAGGGGAAGGTGTGTTGTGATGAGAGACAGGCGAGAGAAGGCAGAAGCAGAGACAGGGTTAGATATAGAACCCAACCACCTCTTGAATTTATTCATAATTCAAGGATGCATCTGACAGGATATGAAATGGAAGTTGCAATGCATCTCTTTTGTCAGTTTGGACTTCTCTTTCACAGGTAACATTCTCATTTATTATAATCAAGTACTTGCCTTAGAACTGAGAAGAGACCACTATAAAATTTCTCATGTACACTGCATTGGGTTAGAGTTAGTCACCTGCTGGAATTGTCACCCACAGAGAACAGCTCACTTCTGTTAATCGGCCATGAACTAGAGCAGTTAATAAATGAGCTGCAGATGCACACAGAAATACAGATTCCAGCGACAGCAAATGCAACTTGCCGCTAAAGGGAAGGAAAGGTGGGTTGAGGAAAGGAAAGTGTAATGACAAGAGCACAACACACAGGGCTTGACCTTTGTAACTTGTCACAAAAGGTCAAACCCTAAAGACAGACACATCTAGTCTGAGGTATGTTTATAATGGGAAAGTGAATTATCTACTAGCAGTAAGTGAAACAATATTTGGCAACTTCAATTATTCTATTTTTAATGCCACACACTAATATTGAAGAACATAAAATAAAATGAATGAGCAACTTAGTAGATTGAAATGACATGAAAGAAAATAACCATGTTCTACGTACTTGTGTTTGAGAGGCAATTATAAGAACATGCATAACATAAACATTAACATGAAGTCAGTTGTTGAACCTACCATGAGATGTATCCTTCGTCAATTTCACTTTTCCTTGGTCAAGGACATCGTTGAAAGCAGGCCAGCCGCATCCTGAGTCAAACTTCGTCTCTGAAGCAAATAACTGTTCGTCACAGACGATGCAAGTGTACATGCCGGCTTCTGTTGTTTTGTTGAATTTTCCAGTAAAAGCCCTGAATTCAAGAATGCAATAACAATTTAGAAAATAATAATGCGACCACACGATAATAATACGATTTACAATTGTGATACAAAGTTTATTAACTATATGAACTTACCTCTCTGTTCCTTTCTCTTGTGTAACGTGGTATTGAATTGGAGTAAGTCGCTTCTTAAGCTCTTCTTTCGAAAATTGACTTTTTTCGGTGTCTGACATTTTGTCGGCGATCGCGAGTAAGTTGAACTAGTACAAAATTTACATCACTCTAAAAGATTCTACACGAGCACTGACGTTCACCTTATTAGGTCCGCCTTCAGCTACTCTCTCCGCTCTTCGATTTAGACTGATGACGTCACTACAACATTTGGTTAGTTTATTTACGCAAGAGGATTATTCACTCTACTTTCCATTAGTTAAAGCCTTATCCACTAAATGATCGATAATTATCTACGAAAATTATTACATCTTAGTAGTTATTGGTATTGCAGTAAAAACGCAAACTTTTAAAATCATGTATTTAAGAGACGAATATTAAATATTCAGGCAAGTTAACGAGAAAAAAATAAGAGGGAAATGAGACACCAATATAAATTTTAATGTCCCCCATACAAGTTCGAACAATTGGATACAATAAAATATTGATTAATCTTTGAAACAAATTCATTTGCCCTCTCTTGACTATAGTATTATAATTTACCCAGAACATCCAACTATTTCACACGGAGAATGTGAAATGGAGAATTCACATAGGTTGTTTCTAAATCGTGAAACCAAAGTAGGTTACACCCCAAGTTGCTTAAAACTTGACTTCAATTCAATCGTTTGTATATTCCAAAGATATTTTCAATGTCGTTTGAGATGTACTGATTCAAAAAGAATGTAAAAGATTCTTTTCACATCATTGGTATGTTGGTAGAAATGACATTCAAGCAACCAATTGTAAAATACATTTCATCAATTGCGAGAAAATAAATTTCATCAATTGCGAGAAAATAAATTATTGAAACATTTTCTTCGATTGAAGGACAATTAGTTTGGATGCACAAAACATAATAATCAAAGACATTAATATTAGAGGAAGGATCGTAATGTGATTACGGATTATCCCAAAGCATTCATTTCAAACGCAATGCTCGTTTGGTTAAATTCAATAGGGACGTACGTTTAATATGCAGCACCCGCATTTAAGTATTCATTACGTCAAGTGAACACTAAAATCGAATAAAATTTTCCGTCTTGTGAACACAACTTGTACCTAAACTATTCGTAGTATCTTTTTCCTCAAAATGGATAGTCGTTGTTCGATCTGGCTCTGCGGTTTTGAAATGCATTCTTTAAATTTTGGGGTACTTTGCATGAAGCCCCTAGGACATTATCAAAAATAGCTCCAATTTTTTTCTGTAAATTGCTTGTAAGAATAGAGTGAAATACCCTTATAAAGATAGGTCCGATTTTCACTGTTTGCTCTAAAATTTCGTAAATCTCAAAAGTTTAATTTTTTTTCGGTGTCTTCCTACAACTACAAAATTTAAGATAGATATTTTTTCTTTAAATAAAATTTGTTCTCCGTAATTCTTTCATTATGATCCTGCACATTTTTTGAAAATTTTAGCAGTTTTCGCGCAATATTGATTCTATACTAAGTAGTATTATCCTAAAGTGAAAAATGACATTTCATTAAAATCCGCCCCAATAATAATAATAATAATAATAATAATAATAATAATAATAATAATAATAATAA